GGTTACGGTGATGACCAGCAGCAGAGGAGCAAAGTTTGAATGGCAAAGACATCAGCTTCACCCTGTACCCTGTAATGTTGAATACAACTTTTTGTGCCTCTTCTGCTATCTCTTATTCCAGTAGTACCTAGGCAGTAACTGAGTAATGCCAACAGCAGCAGCAGCAGCAGAACGCAAATGGTAATGGGCACTACACTAGTGTGCGTGCAATTTAAAATGCCATTATTATTGACTTTCTGGCGCGCCGCTCATGGCGCCCAGTACTGTACAGTCGTACAGTTCACTATGTGTTTCAAGATGCCCGTTTTTTGTTTGCTGGATGCTACAGTTTTTATTCAGAGAACAAGCCAGGACTTTGAATAAATAAAAATAAAATCAAAGTATAAAAACAACACACACAGAGAGCAATGATTCGTAAAATAGTGCTGCTGCTCCTGCTGCTGCTGCTGCTAGTGCCCTTGTTGCCCAGTTGATTGCCACTTCCTATGCTGGGCTGTGCCAGTTTTCAAAGTAAACGATAAAATTAGGAAAAAAGTTTCAAAGCACTGCAAAAGTTTAGCTGTTTACTAAAACTGGCGCATTCAAATTCTGCCCCACTAATTAGCGCAATATAAAGCAGCAGCAGCAGAAGCTGCAACAAAGTCGCCAGCCAGCCAGCCAACCATTTTGTCATTCTGCGGTTCAAGTTGCATCTCTCTCTTTCTCATTCTTTCTCTGTGTGAGCAAGGTTCGTCATTTGTCGCTTGGCAGCGACTGGCATTTAAATTTAATTACCACACACACAGACACATACCTCGAAAAGCGACTGATGTGTGGTGTGTGTGAGTAAGAGAGTGTGTTTGTTCCGTACAAACAAACTCAATTAGTGCAAACTGCGGCAGCAGGCAATTTGGGTGAGTTTGTAGCAGATGAAAACGAGAGAGAAAGAGAAGGAGAGAGAGAGAAAGAGAGAGAGAGAATGGAAACGGTCTGGAATGGAAGCGGAAGAAGCCAGCCAGCCAGGCCAGCCAACCACAGTACGCGTCAATGGCAATTGTTGGACGAGCTAATTACATTCGCTGATGTCTTTGTCTTGTCTCCGCAGTTTGGCGGGTAGGCCTTTTGCACTTTACCAGAACACCAAAGTGACACATCACACACACACACGGTGATGATGAGGATGATGAGGATGGCAGCTGGCTAGGGCTGATGCACAGTAATGTCGACCACTTGGCGACATGTTTTGAGGTGCTAGTGCTGCTGCTGCGAATCTGCTGCATTAGTCTTCCAAAAAATGGGCAAATTTAGCATGAAAATGGGACTGTGTGTGTGTTTGTGTTTGCTTTTCATCATCATCATGCTCTTCTGCTGATCGATTCCAAATTGATTGACTGGGACTACATTTTTTTTCTGTTTGCCTGCTTGAGCCTCGGTCCTGGTGCAAAAAGTGCACTTTCACTTGGCTGACTCAGCCTGGCACAGAGTCTAAAGAATCAAGCCAATTTGGCGATGGTGGTGGTGGTGGTGGTGGAAGAACATTGACTAAAAATTTAGCCTGTATTAAATTACCATATTTTGCATATAGACGAGCCCAAGACAGCAGCAGCAGCTGAAAAGTGCTCCCGATGAATGAATGAGCGAATGACTGACTGACTGAATAGAAAAGTGTGCAGTGATGAGGCGACGAGAAAACGCTTTCTAAGCAGCAGCAACAGCAGCAGTTTTGAGTGCACTGCTGCTGCTGCTGTTGCTAACCTTTGCAGATCAGGCTGTGCTGGCAACCCTTGCCATTTACCAATAGCAGCACCAGCACTGATCTGGGAGTTGAGGCTTCAGCTTATGCTCATCATCACTTCTTCTCTTTCTCCCCCGACCAGCCTCATAAGCATATTTGCTTGCTAGTAGAGAGTTCATAATAATAAATCGCCCAGTGGTCCTGGTACAGCTGGGCAAACGGGGCTTCCTTTGAGCCAAGCTGAACTGCTTTGAAAAAGAAGCTGATGAGGAAAGTTGAGCTGAATTTTGGCCCCATCCCTGCCCTTCCCGTCCTTGTGTCACTTCTCATTGGCACATCATGGCAGTAATATCCGGTAATTAATGGTATCTCGGGCAATCGTCGTCGTCGTCGTTGCTGGCTTTACACTACTTATTGATTGATTTGGCGCCAGGAAGCCAAGAGATTGTTGGGAAAGGAGAGAAAAGTGGAAAAAAGTTAGCATGGTAGTAATATACAGAGTACTTTTTCTCATTTTTTTTCGGTGCATTTCTGCTTCTGTGCAATTGCTGTTGTTGCTGCTGCTGCTGATGCTGCAACTGAGTATCCAGGGAATAACCTTTGAGTACTCGTTGAGTAATTTCCTCGATGACGATTGAAGCTGCTGTTGCTGCTGCTTTGAAGTAAAAATGCAGCATTGAGGCTGCCAACAAGAAAGGAAAGCAGTATTTAATCTTCAGAGCTTAAATTTTCCATTTTTTTAAATTGTGTAAAACAATCGACCAGGCGAGACAGTGCTAGACAGAACTGCAGTAAAAGATACAATGGCGCAAGCGAGCACAGTCGGTAAGATTTAGTTTCTTGATGTTTTCAGTTAGTACACTTCACTGTTGGGCAACTGATTTAGCTGGAAATAAGTATTCCATTAGCAATCTCTGGAAAACTGAAAAAAAGAAAATTGTGATAGTGATGATCGAACATCGTTCAAGAAATATGAGCCAGCCTGCTGAAATGCACACCAGCACCAGCAGCAGGGAATGTGCGCTAGTGTTCATTTACTATAGCCAAACTCTGTACTGTGAGCACAGCACAAAATGAGCTGTTTTGAATGGCTTTGATAAGACGCCGAATAGAAACATGCCGTAATGTGCGGACATTACTTTCCATCGTTACCGGCAATTTTAGAAAGAGGCACATTTTAGTCTTTAGTCTCCTTCACCTGATTAGACCAAGAAGAAGAAGAAGCAGACTGGCACTTATTTCAATGAGGTCCGACGAATGACTCATTTGTTGTACTTTTTTCTGAGCACTTCTGATAAGTACAAAATGGCAAAGCAAACTGTTCCAAAGCAGCAGCAGCAGCAGCAGCAACAACAACACCAAAATTTCTCGCTGATCAGTGTTGGCATTGACTAATGGCAGACTGTTACACTTCTGGCACTACTGGCACTCAGGCACAAGTGCCACTTGCCTAAAAGTTTTCCGTTTTGTTCTTTTTGGCTAGGCATGTGCCGCCTAAAAAAGAAAAAAATCGTAAAAAATAGCTCCCAAACCATTGCGCCCCAGCAGTTCACTTGTGCTCACTCTCCGGCACCCTGACAGCTGCTGTCAGGCACTTTAATTAAATTTAAATTTCTTCTTCTTTTTCTTTAGCAAGCACCACCACCAGCTACTACTACTTCACAGCCGCCGGTTTTTGTTTGTTGTTCACTTTTTTCAGCTGCCCAGCAGCAGCATCAGCAACAGCAGTTCAGTGGTGGTGGTCGTTAATTACTGGAAGAGAGATTCAAGTGCTAATTTGTAGTGGCGCACTAATTAATGCTCATACTTCACGCACACAGAAAGAACGCGCAGTGAGTGAAAATGAGCGTAGAAAAAAGTTGTCACTTGAACTTTTAAAAACCAGCGAGTGCTTTTTTTCAGTCAGTATGAAAAGCGGTTAAAATGTAACGCATTTTTTTCTCCTGCTTTAAAGTCTCTCTCTCTCTCTCTCTCTCTCTCTCTCTCTCTCTCTTGTTTGCTTTAAATATGGCGCCCACTAATTATGATGTGTGTGTGTGTGTGTAGTAGTAGAAGGGATAGAATAGGCCTCTGTTGCTGTTGCTGCTAACTTTGTCATCAATTTTCGACTTCCTTTCAATGTGAGATACTGCCAAACACACACACACACACTGCTGATGACGAGCACAAATAAATCGGGACAAAAAATCTGGAACAAGATTGTTCAACAGTTGTACACACGTGTCATCGTTGCAAACACTTCACTTCACTTCACACACTTTGTTTGCTCAAAAAGCAGATTTAATATTTTAAAATGTAAAATAAAAACTGCCAAAAAAGAGGTATGAACAAGAATAAATATAAGAATAAAAAATGAAGAATTTAGGGGATGGGAATGGGAGGGGTGGGAATGAAAGGCTAATGTGATAGAAATTATGAGGGCATTTTCGGTGATGGCACGTGGAGAGTTTTTGTATCGGAGTGAAATAATAGCAGCAGCAGCAGCAGCAGCAAAACTGAAGTTGCCTGCCCGTCTGGCCGGCCAGAGCCGACGAGTTATTAACGATCTCGTCCAAAGAGTGAACGTGAATGGCAGTGACGGCCTGGCAATTAGCACCAGTTCAAATCGATTAGGCGCTGTTGCTACTGCTGCTGCTGCTGAACTGAACTTAGAAGCATAATTTTGTAATTTTTTTATTATTAAAAATTTTATAACAATTGAAATGTACTGCACACACACTTTTTAGTGTGACAGAAAGTGGTCGCCCTGGACCACCACACACATGGTCCCTGCAACACAAAAGATGGTGAACCACATTTAGCAGCAGTGAGCAAAGAAGAAAGTGCTGCATATATTATTTGAATAACAAAGTGCAAAGCTTTTATAACCATTTTTTTCTTTTTTATTGTGATCACATTTGACAGAAGAAAGAGGAGAAGAAGGAGAAGCAGAAAAATAGAATATTTTNGAAGAAAGTGCTGCATATATTATTTGAATAACAAAGTGCAAAGCTTTTATAACCATTTTTTTTCTTTTTTATTGTGATCACATTTGACAGAAGAAAGAGGAGAAGAAGGAGAAGCAGAAAAATAGAATATTTCAACAAAAGAATATTAACAGTTTTTTAGTGACGATTGAATAGAATAGAGTAAAGAGAGAACCTAAAGAAACAGCAGCTGTAGAAACGGCGACTTTTTTCCAAATTCTTTGGACAGCAATTCTTTGGTTGGCGCCTGGTCGTTGGTTTGCCTTTTTGTCTGCTGCTAAAGATGAGAAGGTGATGATGATGATGATGGTGTGGCTTACTCGGTCTTTTTGGCTTCCGTCGTCTTCTTTGGCTTCTTTGGAACCAGGTAGCTGGCAATGAAGAACTGCGCAAAGAGAATGAAGTAGGAGATGTAGATGGCGATGCCGGCGTACAGCGTCGAGAAGGACATGTCGCACTGGCGGCCGTTCGATTTGGCGTAGAAGGCGTAGAAGGTGACGAAGGTGCCCATCACCATCTGGGCGATCTGCGAGATGGTGATGCACATCGCCAGCTGGCGGGGAATGCGGACGCCCAGCGCACGGAGGGCGTAGTACGAGTACCTGAAGTGGGTGAAAAGTTTTCAAAATGAATTTCGAATTCGAAAAACGGGAGTTCGAAAAAGCTTACATCACCGCGTGGACGCCGTAGTTCATGGTGCAGTACCAGCGGCCGGTGGAGGCCTCGTCGGCGTAGGCGTACCAGGTGAAGATGAGCACGGTGGCGTGGTGGTACCTGATAATTTTGAAAAGATTTGATAAGATTTTTTTCTCTTAAAAAGATTTGGTGATTCGCTTACCAGTGCAGGAAGATGAGCTTCTGCTTGCGCAGCACCACAAAGACGGTGTCAATCAGCTCGGGCGCCTTGGAGAGGATGAAGAGCCAGGTCCAGAAGCTGGAGATGGGCACCTGAGTGAAACGAAGAAGCAAAATTTAATTCGAAAAACTCCTTTTTCTACCCCTTTCTCCACTTACCTCCTTGTGGAAGGTGTTTGCGCAGACGGAGTGGTGAAAGCCGAAACGGGTCAGCACGTGGGCCATCTCCGGCCAGGTTCGAATGGTGCCGGTGATGCTGAAGAGGGCGAGGGCGATGTTCCACAGGGTGAGCGGCAGCTTCAGCTTCAGCGGCGAGGTCCGCGTGGACATGTAGATGCCGCCGACGAAGATGAAGGCGACGTAGGCGGCGGAGTAGTAGAAGGAGGTGTGCCAGTTGCGGGCCATCCACCCGGCCGTCTTCCGGTAGTCGTGGGCATTCTCAAAGGCAAAGGCGACCGAGTAGTTGGGCGAGTAGATGCTCTCTAGGGGCTTCACCAGGCGGAAGGTGTCCATGATTTTGATTTTGGTTGAGGAGTTTTGAGGTAATGAGATGAATTTGATGGGATGAAATGTGAGAAGCACAACTTCTATTTCTTCTCCTTTTCGTCTTCAGACTGCAAATGTGACGGAGCGGTCGACCGGTGCTCGGTGGACGCCAGATGTATAATACCAAATACGAAGTGTGTGTGAACCTTCAAAATGTAGCACCTCCTCGATGGGCAACTTTTTTATATTTAGCTGGCAGGCAGTCAGGCAGAAAGTGAGGTGATGTTGCGGCTGCTTACGGAGTGGACGATGAAGTGATGGTGGTGGCTTCAGCAGCAGCAGAAATGAATGAAAAAAAGATTCCCCTAATTATCAACCGTAATCGAGTAACTGTACGACAGCGACAACGACAAAAAAAGGTTGACGAGAGATTAGATTGGCTATATACAGCAGCAGTAGCAGCTGTACGGTGGCGTGAGATTCGATGATCCCAGCACAGTTGAGAGTTCACTTACCGAACTAGCTGGTTGGTAGGTACATTTCCACCGCCAATGTCAAGGGCAAAGAGATTGGAAGACCAAATTGTGAACTAGAACCGGCGGCGAAATGTGCCGGCTTTCTAAATCAAGCCTTGTTTTGACGTCTGTTTTGATGTCTTTCTTCTTCTGCTTCTTTCTACTCTGTGACAGATGAACAGATGAACAATGTACTAACACGAGCACTAATGACGACGAGTCTAGCTGCTACAAATGCATTATGCATCAACGAGCATTATTATTATGCATGCAGGCGTCTCTATCTGCAGGCGATTTGAATGGGACGACAGAGAGAGAGAGAGAGAGAGAGGGAGAAAGAACGGGAAAAAGAAAGAAAGAAAAAGAGAGGAGTAAACGGAGGGAGAGATCGAACGGCGGAGATAGTGCGGCCAGTCAGTCAGTCATACAGATGATGATGGTGGTGGTGGTGGTGACTGCAGGCAGACGCGTGTTACTCTTCTTCTTCTTCTTTTTCTTCCTCTTCTTCTTACCACTAAATGAGCTGCACGTAGTGTGATGATCTGCAATGAGAGCACGGCGTCTGCAGACAGCGGTCGATTGGTCGCTTGGTTAGCTGGTTAGCTGGCTGGTCGCGAAGCACTGCCAAGCGGTGATAAGCAGCAGCAGCAGCAGCAACACTGACGCCAACCAACGCTGCAATGAATTGTGGTGGTGGTGGGTTGGGTATCAGCAGTACATTTGAGTCACTGGGTGATGATGGCTTTGGCTTTGGCTTTGGGCTTTGTAGCTTTTTTTGGTGCTAGTATTTCAGCNCCAACGCTGCAATGAATTGTGGTGGTGGTGGGTTGGGTATCAGCAGTACATTTGAGTCACTGGGTGATGATGGCTTTGGCTTTAGCTTTGTAGCTTTTTTTGGTGCTAGTATTTCAGTCTAAGAGGAGTTGCTGAGTGCTCGGTGTACCCAGCTCAGTGTTTGGTTGTTGGGTGATGATGCTGGTGCTGATGTTGATGATGTCCACGCCTGCTGCTGATAAGCGAGAGAAGGAGAGAGAGAGAGAGAGAGAGAGGGTTCACATTTCCTGACACTGGGCTTCAAAGTGCAACACCAATACCACCGATCTACTATTGCCGGCACTGCAAGGTTAAAATCTGAGATTGTACTTTTGGTGTCCAGTGATAAACAGCAGCACCGACTGGTCGCCTAGGTGACACGCGAGGGCGCACTACTTCTTTGGCGCCACTTCCACTTCTTACTGCTGCTGCTGCTGCTGCGGGGCGAGTTCTTCTGGACGCAGGATTAGGTGATGGTGCGAATCTGCTGCTGATAAGATATGTTTATGTTGGTGGGAGGACAGTTCAAGAAGAAAACAGTTCAAGAAGAGGAGTACTCTTTGCCGGCAATTNAACAGCAGCACCGACTGGTCGCCTAGGTGACACGCGAGGGCGCACTACTTATTTGGCGCCACTTCCACTTCTTACTGCTGCTGCTGCTGTGGGGCGAGTTCTTCTGGACGCAGGATTAGGTGATGGTGCGAATCTGCTGCTGATAAGATATGTTTATGTTGGTGGGAGGACAGTTCAAGAAGAAAACAGTTCAAGAAGAGGAGTACTCTTTGCCGGCAATTCACCAACAAGCAAAACAAACAAACCACCAGAACAGGCTCAGCAGTTCTTGAGCACGCTTGAAGCTCGTACGGCTGCTATATAGAACAACAGAACTACTCGTTGTACAGTCGTAAAATACAGTTCAAGACGAAGAGAGAATCAAGATGAAGCGAATGTAGAGGAGAAAAATTCCGCCTGGCGCCGGCTATGAAAAACGACGTTATGTAAACTTTTGGCCTGACCACCACCACCGCAAGAAAAAAGCTGCAGCCTCTTCTTCCGAAGATCTCCTCTTTCCGAAGACTTGTTGTCGCTGTCGTGGGAGAAGAAGAACACACCACGGCAGCAGCAGCAGCAGCAGAAGAAAGAGGGACAGTAGAAGAGCACATGGCGAGCAAGCAAACAAACAGGCCAGCCAGCAAGCAAGCAAGCACAGCTGCCCCTCTCTTTCTGTACAACAGCCGAAGTGAGAACAAATGCGGGGGTGATTGAAGCGGGGGCACTCCTTGAAGCGAACCGCCTTCTCACACCATTCTGGCAGACAGATAGCAAAAGGCTGCAGACAGCAGCCACTGACTGACTGACTGACTAGTTAACTGGTCTCTGAAGTGGCT